CTGTAGTGGGTTGGGGTTAGTGTTTAGGATACATACTTTAATGGGTTGTGGTGAGTGTCTGGGATACATACTGTAATGGGTTGTGGTGAGTGTCTGGGATACATACTGTAATGGGTTGTGGTGAGTGTCTGGGATACATATTGTAGTGGGTTGGGGATGAGTGTCTGGGATACGGATTGTGTTTGGGGTGAGTGTTTGGGATACATACTGTAAAGGGTTGGGGATGAGTGTCTGGGATACGGATTGTGTTTGGGGTGAGTGTCTGGGATACATACTGTAATGGATTGGGGATGAGTGTCTGGGATACGGATTGTGTTTGGGGTGAGTGTTTGGGATACATATTGTAACGGGTTGGGGTGAGTGTCTGGGATACATACTGTAGTGGGTTGGGTTGAGTGTTTAGGATACATACTGTAGTGGGTGGGGGTGAGTGTCTGGGATACGGATTGTGTTTGGGGTGAGTGTTTGGGATACATATTGTAACGGGTTGGGGTGAGTGTCTGGGATACATACTATAGTGTGTTGGGGTGAGTGTTTAGGATACATACTGTAGTGGGTTGGGGTGAGTGTCTGGGATACATACTGTAGTGGGTTTGGGTGAGCGTTTAGGATACATACTGTAGTGGGTTGGCCCGAGTGTTTAGGATACATATTGTACATGTAGTGGGTTGTGGTGAGCGTCTGGGATACATACTGTAGTGGGTTGTGGTGATTGTCTGGGATACATATTGTAGCGGGTTGTGGTGAGTGCCTGGGATACATACTGTAGTGGGTTGGGGTGAGTGTTTAGGATACATACTATAGTGTGTTGGGGTGAGTGTCTTGGATACATACTGTAGTGGGTTGGGGTGAGTGTTTAGGATACATACTGTAGAGGGTTGGGGGTGAGTGTGTGGGATACATACTGTAGTGGGTTGTGGTGAGTGCCTGGGATACACACTGTATTTGGTTGGGGTGAGTGTTTAGGATACATACGGTAGTGGGTTGGGGTGAGTGTCTGGGATACATACTGTAGTGTGTTGGGGTGAGTGTCTTGGATACATACTGTAGTGGGTTGGGGTGAGTGTTTAGGATACATACTGTAGTGGGTTGTGGTGAGTGTCTGGGATACATACTGTAGTGGGATGGAGTGAGTGTCTGGGATACATACTGTAATGGGTTGGGGTGAGTGTCTTGGATACATACTGTAGTGGGTTGGGGTAAGTATCTGGGATACATACTGTAGTGGGTTGGGGTGAGTGTCTGGGATACATACTATAGTGTGTTGGGGTGAGTGTTTAGGATACATACTGTAGAGGGTTGGGGATGAGTGTGTGGGATACATACTGTAGTGGGTTGGAGTGAGTGTCTTGGATACATTCTTTAGTGGGTTTGGGTGAGTGTTTAGGATACATACTGTAGTGGGTTGGGGTGAGTGTCTTGGATACATACTGTAGTGGGTTGGGGTAAGTATCTGGGATACATACTGTAGCGGGTTGGGGTGAGTGTCTGGGATACATACTATAGTGTGTTGGGGTGAGTGTTTAGGATACATACTGTAGTGGTTTGGGGTGAGTGTCTGGGATACATACTGTAGTGGGTTGGGGTGAGTGTCTTGGATACATATTGTAGTGGGTTGGGGTGAGTGTCTTGGATACATACTGTAGTGGGTTGGGGTGAGTGTCTTGGATACATACTGTAGTGGGTTGGGGTGAGTTGTTAGGATACATATTGTAGCGGGTTGGGGTGAGTGTCTTGGATACATATTGTAGTGGGTTGGGGTGAGTGTCTGGAATACATACTGTAGTGGGTTGGGATGAGTGTCTGGGATACATATTGTACTGGGTTGGGGTAAGTGTCTGGGATACATACTGTAGTGGGTTGAATTGAGTGTCTTGGATACATACTGTAGTGGGTTGGGTTGGGTTGAGTGTCTTGGATACATACTGTAGTGGGTTGGGGTGAGTGTTTAGGATACATACTGTAGTGGGTTGGGGTGAGTGTCTGGGATACATACTGTAGTGGGTTGGGATGAGTGTCTGGGATACATATTGTAGTGGGTTGTGGTGAGTGCCTGGGATACATACTGTAGTGGGTTGGAGTGAGTGTTTAGGATACATTCTGTAGCGGGTTGGGTGAGTGTCTGGGATACATACTGTAGTGGGTTGGGGTGAGCGTTTAGGATACATACTGTAGTGGGTTGGGGTGAGTGTCTAGGATACATACGGTAGTGGGTTGGCCCGAGTTTTTAGGATACATACTGTAGTGGGTTGGGGTGAGCGTTTAGGATACATACTGTATTTGGTTGGGGTGAGTGTTTAGGATACATACTGTAGTGGGTTGGCCCGAGTTTTTAGGATACATACTGTACATGTAGTGGGTTGTGGTGAGCGTCTGGGATACATACTTTACTGGGTTGTGGTGATTGTCTGGGATACATATTGTAGCGGGTTGTGGTGAGTGCCTGGGATACATACTGTAGTGGGTTGGAGTGAGTGTTTAGGATGCATACTGTAGTGGGTTTTGGTGCGTGCCTTGGATACATACTGTAGTGGGTTGTTGTGAGTGTCTGGGATACATACTGTAGTGGGTTGTGGTGAGCGTCTGGGATACATACTGTAGTGGGTTGTGGTGAGTGTCTGGGATACATACTGTAGTGGGTTGGGGTGAGTGTCTGGGATACATACTGTAGCGGGTTGGGGTGAGTGTTTAGGATACATATTGTACATGTAGTTGGTTGTGGTGAGCGTCTGGGATACATACTGTAGTGGGTTGTGGTGAGCGTCTGGGATGCATACTGTAGTGGGTTGGGGTGAGTGTCTGGGATACATACTGTACATGTAGTGGGTTGTGGTGAGCGTCTGGGATACATACTTTACTGGGTTGTGGTGAGCGTCTGGGATACATACTGTAGTGGGTTGTGGTGAGCGTCTGGGATACATACTGTACATGTAGTGGGTTGTGGTGAGCGTCTGGGATACATACTTTACTGGGTTGTGGTGAGTGTTTAGGATACATACTGTAGTGGGTTGTGGTGAGTGCCTGGGATACATATTGTAGTGGATTGGGATGAGTGTCTTGGATACAAAGTGTAGTGGGTTGGGGTAAGTGTCTTGGATTGTTTTTATTTTTTCAATCTGTTCAAGAAAATGCTGGGGAACCTTAATCTGTCCTCGGGTTTTACACTGGACAGTTTGGATGTTCTGATAAGTAAAGTGATGGGTTTCGTTGCAGAGATTTGAATTTCTGCCTTGAGCGCTGACCGACTCAATAAACTGTCCCGAACCAAATCGTAACCGCTAACATTAAAAAGGTCAGTGCCTTTGTGGCATATAAATATCCTTCCATTGAATGTCAGTTTCCAATAATCGATAATTAGGCCAGGTATATGAATAAGTGATTGAGGCTGAAGACGACACGCCAAAGTTGACGTCAGGGTATGTGGCACCTGGTGACCCACACGCGAGGTCACGTGATGAAAATCGGCCTTGATACCAGGGTAACCAGCCGTCAACATCTCAATAAGATTGTGAAAATAGAAAGGCACGTGCTTAATATTTCATAAGATATGTTTCGAACTAAGCACTACTTTAATTTGATATAAAAAGGTGTTGTGGCTGTAAGGATATTCTAGGGATAACATTATTTTAAGTTTATGTCATGTTTTGTTGAGTAAAATTAGTAGCTTTCGTTGACTATTTCTTAACTAGGTCTTAACCAGATGCATCATGACCATGCCTCAAGGCTAGATATCAGGTGAAGTGAAATGGAGTTGTTCAAGATAATTCTAGCGTGTCGTAGCTTCTTGTTTTGGCCCTGACTTATGTCGGTTTTATAGTACTTGCCCACTGAGATACCATGAGCAATTTAACATGTATTCCTCATAAGACGACGCTTGTACATACTGTCCTTATTTAATCCCCTCAATACTTTACGCTAGGAAGGATAATAACAAATATACCATCCATTAACGTCTTTTGGTATCACGAGGTAAGAAGATCAAGTCATCGCTCTCCGGGTAGACGCAATATTCATAGGACCATGAGACCCGTGCAGATACGAGTAGAGAATAGGTATTTAGCGACCCATGCTTGCTGTGAGAGGCGACTAACAGGATCGGGGAGTCAGGTTCACTATCTTGGTTGATGCATGTCATTTATCCCAAATGCGTAGATGGATGCTCATGATGCCAGTCACTGGATTGTCTGGTCCAGACTATATTTTTACAGACCGCCGTCAAAAAGCTGGAATATTACTGAGTGCGTCTTTTACCACCAAAGACATAGCAAACCTAAAGCGTAAGGTGAAAATGAAATAAAAAACGATATATCTGCTTCATTACATAATCGTCTGATATAACTCCTGAAAAAATAAACGTAAAACACCACCCCTTTCATCTTCCTATACCCCTAATGTCCATGTGTCTTTTGGAAATACTATCACACAACTTGCATAAACGTTCATTCAACGGAGTTTTATTCCATCTTCCGGTTTCTATTTGCAGGCGGTGACAAGATGTCCCAAAGAATAGCAATTTAAAGGATAATTTGGGAGGGATGTTAAAATATTTTTTTAAGTGTATTGGCGATTTTAAAGACACTATATTAGGAGCCTTTGGAAATATCCGCTTTCCAAGGTTGCCAATATTTATCAGAGAGAGAGTTTCCTGACGTAAGCTTCGACCAGAAATTTAACATTCTAAACTCAACATCTAGACAAAGTGGGGTTCTACAACGTTCTCCACAGAGCATTGTTAAAGGTGTGCTTTCATTTACCTGTAATAATTTTCTGAGAAACTGTACAAGAACGTTCTCTGTTAGTTAGCAATGATCATAACCCCATATTTCACAACCATACACTTGTATTGGTTTTACCATAGTGTCAATCTATCGGTATATAAATCCCGAGGCCATAAGGGAGGGTGAAGGTCGGTTGGAACTCTTTATGAAATACATCAATGGATGCCCTGCAACTTCACAGGGGTGAAATGAGGTTGTTGTTTTTTCGCAATGGCGGTCATCGTCATGACGACACGTCCACGGGTATAAGACATACGGCGAGCGTGCTTGGGAAACACTACGCCTATCGTCACAGCTACAACTCGTCCAGTCGCGGGTACGCTTTCAGTCAAACAAGCCACCATGAAGTTTACGATAGCAATCCTCTTGCTTGGTAAGCATATTAACTTTTAGAATTTTAACTTTTCCCTTCCCAGTCAAAGGAATAATAACGCGTTCTGAGACCAGTATTAGAAAAAGGAGGAGTTACGCTCACCTTTTCGCGAACCCCTGGTATCATTGCTATTTTGTAGTAAATCATAAACACATGCTCATGATATATTCTGAATTGTACAATCGCCTCTGCTTTATGCAGAGATTTGTATTGGTTATCGAAAAGGTTTGATTTATTTAGATAAACCGTTGTTCTAGGTTCAAGGACAAGCATATGCTACTCGTTCTGAGATGTTTTAATGCCACATGAATTTAACTGTTCCCACCTTAGACAAAGTCACATCATATGTTACTCGTGTTAAGAAGTTTTAATGTTACAGAATTGTAACTGTTGTTTCCTTAGTCAAAGAAAAGCACATGTTACTCGCTCTAAGATGTTGTTTTAATACTACAGGATTTTAACTGTTCAATTCTTTATTCATGTACATGTGTAGGCCAGCGGCCCATGGTACAATATTTGGTCCATCATTAACATTTATAGGCTTAGTGTTTGGAGTCTAACATTCATAGCATGGTATATAAAAGTTGCAACATTTCTAATAACAGTTTCTTTGTTTACCGCCATAAGCATATTGAATTTAGCAAGAGTAGGATGTACAAAATACTTCTGTGGTAATACAGTAAATACTGTTCTGTCCTTAGTCAAAGAAAAGCACATGTTACTCGCTCTAAGATGTTGTTTTAATACAACAGGATTTTAACTGTTCCGTCCTTAGTCAAAGAAAAGCACATGTTACTCGCTCAAAGATGTTGTTTTAATGTCACATGGGTTTTAACAGTTCCCTCCTTAGTCAAAAGAATAACATATGTTTCCAGTTCTGATCGGGTAATCAAGGCTGTTTGTGCTTTCTCTGCTCCCTTCTTAATCAAACGAATAACACATGTTGCTAGTATAGACTAAGGTATATTCTTTCAGGCAAGAATATACCTACAGACCTTTAACATTCTCAATAACAAATTTGAAAAAAAAGCAATATTACTTAATGTAGGAATTCCTTTGTTTGAGCAAAGATATACGACACGAGTTGTTACCTCCACTTGATTCACCCAACAGCTTCCTTTTAAAGTTAGGGTTAGGGTTAGGTTTAGGTTTAGGTTTAGGGTTAGGGTTAGGGTTAGGGTGGAAGTCATGTTCCAATATCCACCGAAGTATACACCAATGTATAAAATACATTTGATTTTACAGGGCATTGCAGGTTTACTAATTTTACGTTAGATACACATTTCACAATTCAACTGTTCACAGGAGGTGAACTTTTGGCTTTATGTTGTATTTTTAATGTCTCTCTTTTCTTGTCCTCAATTTATTCAAGAAAGTATTATATATTGACGTATTAATCCAGTTTTATTAGTTTTAATCCAGCTTGTCTGTTCAAATGGAGAATTAATGTGATTTGTTTCTTTTGTCTTTCTGCAATGAACTAATGAACTGAGGCAGATCGTACTCGTGGTACCCAAACCCACAACCTCCGTCTCTGTGTTTTATAACCCTGTACATGTAGTGAGAATTTTATATTGTCTGCCCCATCCCTACACACTAGCCTCTCGAAACCTTTATATGGGGACACGCCATCTTCGTTTCGTGATTGATTTTTTCTCTCTCAAGGGATGGCTAAGAGATAATCAGTGATGTGTGACCATCTAACCCTTCTCTCGAATTGATAATCAATATCTATTGTACACTTACAAGGCACCATTTTCACGCGCAGTACGTATTGATCCCAGACCTCAAATAACACAACAACCCTTCTCTGGCACGACACGAGACCAATAGCAGCGTTCCATTATTTATACGTTGTTTTAGTCGTTATGGATTACGGCCGCCTCCGTGGTCTAGTGGTAGAGCGACCGCCCGGAGAGAGGAAGGCCCGGGGTTCGATCCCCGACCGCGTCATACCAAAAGACGTTAAAAGATGGTACTTGTTGTGACACTGTCTGGCGCTCGGCATTAAGGGGCTAAAACAAGGACTGGTCGGCTCGGAGTCAGTATACTGTGTCTGAGTGGGGTATTCATGTTAAACTGCGGCATGGTATCTCAGTGAGCTAGCACTATAAATCGGCATCAGTCCGGGCTAGTACAAGCAGCCACACACACACACAAGCATGCACGTCGCTATATAAGTGCAATAATCTTTGACGCGACGTTAAACCCCATTTCACCTCACCCCACCTCACCACCGTTATGGATTACAACAATGCCTGGGAAAGTTATTGATCACCCATTTTTTATGGCTGGGTTTGCCTTGGCTGATCAACTGATCAATGGTCGAAATTAGAATTATGTCATATTTGTGAAAAAATCTCAAACAGTAATCTATAGGGCGGAAAAACAAAAATAAAATGAATTGTTCATTCGCGATTGAGTTTTGAATAACAAGTCAAAGAATTACTTTCATTTCCCTATACATGTCCAGTGAATGATGCTCAACGGATTCTGGAATAAGTTTCAGTGAATGCCTTATGGAAAATTGCCTTTCCTTCAGGTGCCCTTCTTGGAACAGGAGCTGCCTGCAGCATAGGATCCTGCTCCCTGACCGGTACTCTTACAGGGACTGCCGGATGCACGTATGTAACATGCTTAGATATTATATGGATCCCTGGCGATTATGGCGATACATAGATATCGAGTTATTGTTAAGTTGGTTATTTGTTAACGCGTTTCTGTTACTCGTTTTGCATCATCTTGAATGTAACGTGTGCCCGATTTAAGTAACCTTCTTATTCTACTTGCTTATGCCTTTATTAATAACACATTCATTGCGATTCATTCGATCAGACAATAACAATATTTCAAATATCTTGTTTGCATTTTCTTTATACACTAGGGATTATGATTCAAGATCTGAGATATATCATACTGTGATGCGTTCTCAAATATTTGTATTTTACGCCACATTTAGCAATCGTCCGGCAATATCACGGCAGAGGAAATCGGGCTTTACGCATTGTACTCCAATAATCAATTTAAGATATCGTCAAATGTTAAAATCAGTACATATCATGGTATGAGTAAACGATACTTGTCATAATGATGTTTATTAAGGAGATAGAAATGGATGTGTTTTCAGATTTGCGGGTGTTTTAAGTATTTGATATTCGGAAGATTTCAGAATAACGGCATTTTCACCACTCAGATTGCGATTTCGTAATTACATTAGTTTTTACAATTTGAAATAATAACAAACTGGTCATTAGAGACAATACCGCTGGGGCCCGGTGTGTAATATGTTGTCTCATCTGTACACAGGAACTACCAAACCTACATCTCATGTCTGTCCACCCAGTCCAGCAGCTGCACCAGCAGTGTCTCAGACGCAATTTCTAAACCACTCATCGACGCTGCCATCACGTCCAACAACATCTTGAGAGCCGCTTTGGGCTGCAGTAAGTACCGATGATACTATTTTGGATCATTTGTTTCATGATTGTGCTCTAACGTCCTCAGGAAAGCGGATTGAAAAGAATTGCTATTAATACCACTTTTCTATCCTTTAGTGGATATATTTCTGTCCATGTAATACCATCACTGAACACATTTACGTATCTGGACACTTCTCTAGGAAGAATCTGCAATGGATCTGTCCATCAATGGATACCCAGATACTAAAACCACCCTTTTTGGTGATTATATTCGAATTAAACTTGTGATATCCTGGTACCGATTCCACACCTTCGTCTCCTTGGACAATATATCCTGTGCACCTTGCCTCGTAATATCTCCTTGTCCTGTTAGTTGCCCATGCTGAGACATGTCCCTATGCCACGCGATACCTTCGTCCCGCCATATCCTGTCCAGTGTAATGTTCTTCTCCTGTGAGACATCCTTGTCCTTGAGATATCCTTCATTCACTCAGTCACGCTGTTTCAATGTTCGTGAATTTGTGTTATACAATTGGAAATTAACATTATTCTGACGCTATATACACAGACTTTTGCAATATAGCTTTGTTTCTGTTTCAGGCGGTGCGAGCTTTACATGCGTCTCCGGCATTGCGCTCATCCTGTCCGTCGTGGCAACGCTGGTGAAAACTCACTTTTAAATCAGGGATGCTGCTCTCAGGGATGTTGCTCTCAGTCTTTTATCGTCTTATATCGAATACTTTTGTACCAGCTTTTTTCGCATCCTGTGATATCACTGTCAGAAGAACTCATGAAGGTGTTTGATGTATCAAGTTTAATTGTTAGTACTAAAAGTGTTTCAGAAGTGAGTAGACTAATTTTACGTGAGGTTGTGTGGGGTTCTGTTTTATTTTACACTGTCTACATACAAGGAGTCCCTGCGTATCATCTTCTTTGACTTGGCGGTGCGTAGCCCAGTGGTCATAGTGTTCGCTCCTCACGACGTTTGACTTTTGTCTTGCAAAGTGTATGAAGTTCATTTGGGATGCCCTTGTTGCTATACTGCTGGAACATCTGCTATAAGGATCGTAAACACATGCTCATGGGTTGTTTTTGTAATGGTTTTTTCTCATAATAAAAAGATTATTTTACCAATTTACTCTGTTTTGTTGTGTTTAGTGGGTTTTCGAAATGTTCAGCCATTTTCGTTGGGGTATTTGTCTGCTGTTAGCTGCATTAACCGGCAGTTTGCCAGAGGCGCACTGTCACGCCCTAACGGCGTTAATCTGTGATCATACAGTCAAACAGTGATTGTCTTGTGATTTTAGTAGTTCATGTATTTGCGTTCTGGATCCCACATACACACTGAGAGTCGCACGCTACACAACTCGCTTTTTGTCGAGGGGTGCGTCTGGCCTTGAGGCGAGTGTCCATGTGGAACGTGTCTCCTACCTAAAACGTATCTTTCAATCACCCTTCTCACATCCAGAGATACAGATGATTCAAGCTTTGTTAGACACACGCGATATACACAACTGGGTGAGGTGATTTGTGTACGAGTCTGTACATGCGAAATAGTGAAAGCAAACAATAGATAACAGCCTAGAACCGTATACGCTGTGTGCGGCAGTGAGTCAATGGTCCTGCAGTCGCTACCGTAATGTCTCCAAGACAATGTGAAATTGGGAATAATAAATTTGAATACATTATACTGAATTCGTGAACTGAACTGGTTGGCCGATTGATTGATCAATTTATATCGTATGAACAACAAAACGAGTACAAGAAAAAACTAAAGAGACAAATAAGAAGACAAGGATTGGACTTTGTTGATTTTATTTAAACAAATGTTGCGATGGGTTTCCAAACTTTTCGAGTGGTCACTGGTGCGGGCTGTGTGTCAAAGCGAAACATCAGCGTCTTACTTTGAATGTCATTGTGATGGAGAAAGACTTAAACCATGTGCAAAGACAACTAGAAGGAGACACGGGTTACTAATAGTATTTCAAGCGCATAGGGGGTAGCGAATCCATTATCAATAACTTCAAATAATTTGTTATTTAATCATACGTTGGCAATTTAGGCGAAAATCAATCTTAAAAGCTTTGTCAAGTATTGTTGGAGAACTCAAAATGAGAGGTTTAGAAAACTAACTGTGTAAATAGAGAAGTTTGAAAAATTAAGACAAAAGTTTTTATGGTGAAATGTGGGGGACATTTCCAAATTTGACGCATCCGACGAAATTCCCTATTTTTATATGTTTCCATGTTTTTTCAGGTGGACAATTGACTTGTCTTTGCATGTGTTTGTGACGGGTGCCATAGGTTGTGCAGGATACACTCACCTTTCGCGAACACCGGGTATCATGACTATTTGATAGTGATTAATAAGCGCATGCTCATGCTATACAGTAAACTACGGTTATAACAAACTCAACGGTGTGACTAATTTCAGTTCGTTATAACCGTAGTTCGTTGTAAGCATATATACAGTATTTATATACAATATATATTTATAAAAAAGGGCGGGGACCAAAAAATAAATGTGTTATATCCGTCTGTTCCTTATAAGCGTGTTCGTTATAAACGTAGTTTAGTTTAATTGGAATCGTACAATCGACTCTACTTTTAGCAGAGATGCCTTATTTATTATGGAAACGGTTTTGTTGCTTATATTTATCTAAGTACGAACCGTCCAGTTTAAACAAACATTTTCGACATGCAGGACGCCTTTGAGTGCCAATTGCGCAGAATATTGCTTAACTGAATAAGCCCTTGTTTAATGTCAAGAGTCACGGGGAGTAGTCCATTAAGTTTGAATTTAATGCCACACAGCGATTGGATAGCCACAGGGTGTTCCATACATAAAGCAAGTGCATATGTGAGAAGTGAAATATGTTTGAGGTTTAAGATTCTGAACAATTGGACATTGGTTTGTGCGTTCTCCATAACAAACACGAAAATGTGTTGAGGAAAATCCAATTTACCGATCCTTTTCATCCGAATTAAAACTGAAAATATTAAGGCAAATGCAAAACCTGAATAATACGAGCACCTGACTGCTGGATTTGAAAGTCAAATGAGTGTATCTTCTCCCAGCAAGATGAATAGTGGGCGTTCGAATAGAAATCACAAGCGAAATATAGAATCCCTCGAAGACAGTTCAGTTTGTTCTCGAAAATACTACAGGCATGTGATTTTGAATCACTATCCAATAGTGATGATACCAGGTGTTCGGAAAAGGCGAGCGTATCCTGCCCCACCGGTGGCACCTGTCACAAACACATGCAAAGGCAAGACAACTGTTTACCTCTCACAAAAACAACAACAAAGCCTTAAACGATAATGGCTTATTTTTTAAATCCGAAAATGATTTCATTAAGTTCCTGATAGTAGAGATCCCAGGCCGCGTCTACCAAAAGACGTTAAAAGATGGTACTTGTTTTTTACCCTGTTCGGTTCTCGGCATTAAGGGTAAAAAACAAGGACTGCTCGGCTCTGAGTCAATATACTGTGTCTGAGTAGGGTATTCATGTTAAACTGCGGCATAAAATTTCAGTGGGCTAGCACCATAAATCGGAAATGCGTCCGGACTAGTACAATCAGCCACACACACACACACACACACACACACACACACACACACACACACACACACACACACACACACACACACACACACACACACACACACACACACACACACACACACACACACACATATATATATTAATGACCCGCGCTTTGAGACAGTGAAAGTTCTATGTCTGAAACTGATACAAAGAAAGATGTTGGACTAACGTGGACTTTATTATTTTATTATATATTACATGTACACCGAATGAACACTTGCCTCATTTTTGTTTATATATATATATATATATATATATATATATATATATATATATATATATATATATATATATACGCAAGGAATGTGTCATTGTCTTCGTAGCAATCTTCCTGTTTGCTATTCAGCTATATGAATAGCAAACAGGTAGATTGCTATGAATACAATGACACATTCCTTGCGTATATCTGTGTGTCCGGATTGTCGTGCATGCAATTTTGACTTCAACAATACCGTAAGTGATAGCCCTCACCGAACTACCGATGTAGATAGATAACAATGTGTATGAGTTCGCGTTTACGTTCGTCAAAGGAGAAAGAACATGAACAAATTTGTGATTTCAATGTGGAGACAGTTTGTCTCTCTCTCTCTTCTTTCTCTCCTTCTCTCACTCATTCTCTCTCTCATTCCTTCTCTTATTTTCTCTCTATCACTCCTTCTCTCATTTTCTCTCTCTCATTCCTTCTCTCATTTTCTCTCTCTCATTCTCTCTTTCTCTAATTCTCTCTCTCCCCTCTCTCCCTCTCTCTCTTTCTCTCTTTCTCTCTCTCTCTCTCTCTCTCTCTCTCTCTCTCTCTCTCTCTCTCTCCAACACACACCACTAAAATACCATACATTTTTTAAAACGTCCTTCTTTTACGAAGTTGACAAAATATGTCAAACATTTAATAACGGAAAAAACAATCTCTCCAGTGACACGATTACTGACAATTACCTTCGTTAAATTTCGTTTGATGTAGGAAGTAGTGCCGGGCCTCCATGCTGGCCTGATCCCTGTGTTAGGTACTGTGCTGGGTCCGGGCTGCCTGGTTGTGGCCACGCAAACCCGGGACCCCACTCGAGGCACGTCCGTGAAGCCAGACATGCCTCGTTGTCTCACACACTCAGCTAAAACAAACACCTGATTAGATGATGCACTCACTACATCCTCTAACAAAGACCAGGACACCTGTCGTAAAAGCTAACTGGACAGGACAAGACATGGAATATTTGTTTCGTGGACACTTACTTGATTGCACATTATTTAAAGGTAAAATAAACCATATAAGCCTAGTTATTAAACATATGTGATTAACAAATCGACCAGTTATTAAATATCACCTACATTCGATACTCAGGCGCATACAAAATAAGCGGCTTCTTACACATCACCGTAATAGAAACATAAATATATTGTCGAAATTAAATGACACTCGGTTTGGAGCTAGTTTTGCTAAGTCCTTATCGCCCGAGATGGTCTTTATTTTCGCGTGATGCCTTTGTCCCGTGAGATTACCTTGTTCCGCACGGTGTCCTATTACCGTGATTTTCCTTTGTCCCGCAATCTGTGAGACATCTTGTCCTGTAGCGAGTGAGTGAGTGAGTTGTGTTTAACGCCGCTTTTAGCAGTATTCCAGTTATATCACAGCGTGTCAGGTTAATGTGGGAGGAATCCCCGAAGTGACGCAGGTCACAGACGTTTACCACTTTGGTGAAACCCACGAGGACGGGTATGGTGCTGACAAACCTAGAAACATAATCGGGGCAAAGCGGGATTCGAACCAACAATCATAGGTTTCTGGCGTACCCAGGGGACGCAACTCTGCACACCGAATTGTGGCGCTTTAGACAACTGGGCCCTCCGTGCCACCGCTCTTGTTCAGGGTGCCGTTGTACATAACAACCTTAACACTACGACAGTCGTAAGTCTCTGTTGAGGTATGGGGGTTACGATCACCTTAGCGCTAAGATAGCTTTTTACAACGGTACCCTGTAATATATACTGCTCATGCCATGCATCCCTTTGCCATAACACATCGTTGTACTGTTAGTTTTCCTTAACACATAGCATGTCTTTATCACACGAGAACACTTTGTCCTGTATGTCCGTGTCCCGTTAGATGCCCCTGCCCAGCGAGATGTCATTATCCAGCGAAATGTCCTTCTCCCGTGGGACGTCCTTGTCCCCCGAGATGTCCTTGTCCCGTGAGACAAGACACAGATGTGAGGATATGTGCGGCCTTCCTCTACTTCCTCCAGGTCCGACTTGTGACATCCCGACCGAACAGAGTAGGTACAGCCAGCTTCATCTACGGATACACTGTGGTCATGGATTTCAAATGTGGGATTATTCTTGCACTTTGGACACTCTACCATGAAGGTAATCATTTACAAACACGATCGCCAATACATACTAGCTAATACAAAATAGTCAGGAGAATCTTAATTAGGAAATGTGTTGCATTTACTTCCACTCGAAAGAAATCATTTCATAAAGAAATTAGAAAGAACATATCCGAGATTTGCTATTTTTATTTGGCATCCCTAAAATTTTAACGTAATTGTTAAGTTACTGACGGCACATATTCCAAACTTCATCTATACCGTTATATGTTTGTAAAACATATCAATACTGAAAGCTTGAGAAAAAGGTATTCGTCATCCGAACGCACGCACTCTTACCATGCAACGTGAATGTCAAGTTTTTCATTTTGTATTGAATGTTTAACATGATACAAACATCCGTAACATCAATTCCCTGTAAATAGGTACTAACTAACTCAAGATTCACTAACTTCTTACACACTTATATTTAAGTAAGGTTGTCACAACAGAATATCGGGTCGGAATAGGTCACGAGTACTGACAACTAAGGCGTGATAAGATGATTAAATTAACAACTCTAAATACCTGTTGGATTAGGGATCAAGCTATCGTATTATCTCGCTACAATCATCCGTCCCCCAGAACCTCACTCATTACAATCATTCCCTTTCACAGTCACTTACTCAATACAATCACCAAAAACCCCACTTATTTTATCATTACAACCATCCACTTTTCAAATACTCACTAACTACAACCATCCACATCCCTAGTTACTTTCTCATCACAGCCACAAACGTCCAAATAACGTACTAACGACAATTAACTACATCCCCAGTTTCATACTCATTACAGCCAGCCATTTCCTCAGTTTCGTACTCATTACAACCATCTACTCTCAGTTACTTACTCATTACAACCATCTACTCTCAGTTACTTACTCATTACAACCATCCACTTCCTCAGTTACCTACTCATTACAACCATCTACTCTCAGTTACCCACTCATTACAACCATCCACTTCCTCAGTTACTTACTCATTACAACCATCCACTTACTCAGTTACTTACTCAATACAACCATCCACTTTCTCAGTTACTTACTTATTACAACTATCCACTTACTCAGTTTCTTACTTAATACAACCATTCAATTCCTCAGTTACTTACTCATTACAACTATCCACTTCCTCAGTTACTTACTCATTACAACTATCCACTTTCTCAGTTACTTACTTATTAGAACCATCCACTTCCTCAGTTACCCACTCATTACAACCATCCACTTCCTCGGTTACTTACTCAATACAACCATCCACTTCCTCAGTTACTTACTCATTAAAACCATCCACTTCCTCAGTTACTTACTTATTACAACATCCACTTACTCAGTTACTTACTCAATACAACCATCCACCTCCTCAGTTACTTACTCATAACAACCATCCACTTTCTCAGTTACTTACACATTACAACCATCCACTTCCTCAGTTACTTACTTATTACAACAATCCACTTTCTCAGTTACTTACACATTACAACCATCCACTTCCTCAGTTACTTACTCATAACAACCGTCCACTTTCTCAGTTACTGACACATTACAACTGTCCACTTCCTCAGTTACTTACTTATTACAACCATCCACTTTCTCAGTTACTTACTCAATACAACCATCCACTTACTCAGTTACTCACTCAATACAACCATCCACTTACTCAGTTACTTACTCATAACAACCGTCCACTTTCTCAGTTACTTACTTATTAAAACCATCCACTTCCTCAGTTACTTACTCATAACAACCATCCACTTTCTCAGTTACTTACTTATTAAAACCATCCACTTCCTCAGTTACTTACTCAATACAACCATCCACTTCCTCAGTTACTTACTTATTGCAACCATCCACTTTCTAAGTTACTCACTTATTAAAACCATCAACTTCCTCAGTTACTTACTCATAACAACCGTCCACTTTCTCAGTTACTGACACATTACAACTGTCCACTTCCTCAGTTACTTACTTATTACAACCATCCACTTTCTCAGTTACTTACTTAAAACAACCATCCACTTACTCAGTTACTCACTCAATACAACCATCCACTTACTCAGTTACTTACTCATAACAACCGTCCACTTTCTCAGTTACTTACTTATTACAACCATCCACTTTCTCAGTTACTTACTTATTAAAACCATCCACTTCCTCAGTTACTTACTCAATACAACCATCCACTTCCTCAGTTACTTACTTATTGCAACCATCCACTTTCTAAGTTACTCACTTATTAAAACCATCAACTTTCTCAGTTACTTACTTATTAAAACCATCCACTTCCTCAGTTACTTACTCAATACAACCATCCACTTCCTCAGTTACTTACTCAATACAACCATCCACTTCCTCAGTTACTTACTCAAAACAACCATCCACTTCCTCAGTTACTTACTCATAACAACCATCCACTTACACAGTTACTTACTCATTACATTCAGCTGTACACAACCCTAGTTACTTACTCATTAATACCATCAACTTTCTCAGTAACTTACTCATAACAACCATCCACTTACTCAGTTACTTACTCATAACAACCATCCACTTTCTCAGTTACTTACACATTACAACCATCCACTTCCTCAGTTACTTACTTATTACAACAATCCACTTTCTCAGTTACTGACACATTACAACTGTCCACTTCCTCAGTTACTTACTTATTACAACCATCCACTTTCTCAGTTACTTACTCAATACAACCATCCACTTACTCAGTTACTTACTCATAACAACCGTCCACTTTCTCAGTTACTTACTTATTACAACCATCCACTTTCTCAGTTACTTACTTATTAAAACCATCCACTTCCTCAGTTACTTACTCAATACAACCATCCACTTCCTCAGTTACTTACTTATTGCAACCATCCACTTTCTAAGTTACTCACTTATTAAAACCATCAACTTTCTCAGTTACTTACTTATTAAAACCATCCACTTCCTCAGTTACTTACTCAATATAACCATCCACTTCCTCAGTTACTTACTCAAAACAACCATCCACTTCCTCAGTTACTTACTCATAACAACCATCCACTTACACAGTTACTTACTCATTACATTCAGCTGTACACAACCCTAGTTACTTACTCATTAATACCATCAACTTTCTCAGTAACTTACTCATAACAACCATCCACTTACTCAGTTACTTACTCATAACAACCATCCACACTCTCAGTTTACTCATTACATTCAGCTATACTCAACCCTAGTTACTTACTTATTACAACCATCTACTCTCAGTTACTTAGTCATGAAAACCACCCACTTTCTCAGTTACTTACTCATAACAACCATCCACTTTCTCAGTTACTTACACATTACAACCATCCACTTCCTCAGTTACTTACTTATTACAACAATCCACTTTCTCAGTTACTGACACATTACAACTGTCCACTTCCTCAGTTACTTACTTATTACAACCATCCACTTTCTCAGTTACTTACTCAATACAACCATCCACTTACTCAGTTACTTACTCATAACAACCGTCCACTTTCTCAGTTACTTACTTATTACAACCATCCACTTTCTCAGTTACTTACTTATTAAAACCATCCACTTCCTCAGTTACTTACTCAATACAACCATCCACTTCCTCAGTTACTTACTTATTGCAACCATCCACTTTCTAAGTTACTCACTTATTAAAACCATCAACTTTCTCAGTTACTTACTTATTAAAACCATCCACTTCCTCAGTTACTTACTCAATATAACCATCCACTTCCTCAGTTACTTACTCAAAACAACCATCCACTTCCTCAGTTACTTACTCATAACAACCATCCACTTACACAGTTACTTACTCATTACATTCAGCTGTACACAACCCTAGTTACTTACTCATTAATACCATCAACTTTCTCAGTAACTTACTCATAACAACCATCCACTTACTCAGTTACTTACTCATAACAACCATCCACACTCTCAGTTTACTCATTACATTCAGCTATACTCAACCCTAGTTACTTACTTATTACAACCATCTACTCTCAGTTACTTAGTCATGAAAACCACCCACTTTCTCAGTTACTTACTTATTACAACCATCCACATTCTCGGTTACTTACTCAATACAAGCACCCACTTACCAATAACTTACTAACGACAATCACTCACATCACCTTTTTCATACTCATTCCAAACATCCACTCCCTCAGTTACCCACTCAAAACAACCTCCAACTTTCGCAATTACTTAATCATCACAACCATTCGCTTCCTCCGTTACTTACTCATTACAACCATCCACTTCCTTAGTTACTTACGAACGACAATCACCCACAACGCCAGTTACTTTCTCGTCACAAGCATCCACTTCCTCAGTTACTTTCTCATAACAACCATCCACTTCCTCAGTTACTTACTAACGACAATCACCCACATACCAAGTTACTTTCTCGTCACAAGCATCCACTTCCTCAGTTACTTACTGATTACAATCGTCTTCTTCCTCAGTTACTTACTTGATATTGCTATCGCCGTGATATTGCTGGAATATTGCTAAAACGGCGTAAAACCATACTCACTCACTACTTATTACAACAATTCACTCTCTCAGTTACTTACTCATTACAATTATCCACTTACTTAGTCAATTACAGATTCGATTGCTAATTTGACTTCACATAACATTCACAAAAACCACAACGATCAAGAGATATTTGAAGCGGCACGAACTGCATTTCGAGTTTAAACGTTCTTCGAGAGAAGCCTCTTATAAGAGTATCTGTCCCGGTGTATTGTAGTGTCCTCCCAAGCCTGGAGGATCTCCACAGCGTGTTACGGGAACGTGGGCCTCAACTGTTCCTTCCACTACTTCCGGTGTGCAGCTACTGACCACGTGGCGGTGAATGGTGCGGAATACCTGTACAAGGACAGTCCTAGGTGTGGCACGGGGGTGGGCAACTGCGACTCCCACCAACACACGTGTTGCACCCCGCAGCAAGAAGACTGCTCTCTCCCCTACACCCACGCGGATCTTGAGCGACTCAAGCTTTGTCTCAGACATCCGCCGTGCATCTTCAAGACCCCGTGGAGCACCCACAAGTGTGTTGCCAACAATCATCTTGTACAGTTTTCTAGCTACTCGGTTATCTTCTATGAGTGCATTAAAGGTATGTTTTTATTTTTACATGCTTTGTGTGTACGTCTTGGTACAGCTTTTAAGGTCCAGTTATTAACTACACTGATGGGACAAACATCATAACGTTCTTGTAATGCAGAACACTCGGAGCCACAACTCTTTTAGAGGCAGACTATGCTGACTGAAAGAATATTCTGTCTCAAAGAATGTTACATGATCGATCCCAAACTTCCGCCTTTGCCAGGAGACATTTAGAGAATAACCAGCCAGCTACGAGGAATTACGGATTAAATGTTTGGATGAAATGTTTGGCAAATGGATAAACACATGGTACAAAGATGGTACTTGTTGTTATCATGTCTGACGCTCGGTATTTGGCGGCTAAAACAAGGACTGGTCGGCTCTGAGTGGGATATTCATGTTGAACTGTGGCATGGTATGTCCGTAGGCTAGCACTATAAAATCGACATTAGTCCGTACAAGTACAAACAGCCACACACAGAGGCACACAAACGTTCAATAATCTTGTACGCGACGTTAAACCCCTTTTCACCTCACCTCTTTGTAGACTGACTGTTAGTCTATGATTCTCTTCTACGTCGCTTCAGATCAATTGACTTGACACCTGTCGCTAGGCAGCAAGTGAAAACATACCAGGAGACATCCTCAGTGATACGATTGGGGGAGGGCGCTGACAACTCTAGAAACATAATCAGAGCGAATCTGGAATTCGAACCATCGATCACAGATTTCTGACACCCTAAGGGACGCAACCCTGCATGCAAATTGCGACGCCTCGACGACTGTGTCCACGGTTTAATGTAGAAGACTGTTCCTCCTGCAATAGAAGGACGTGACTATTCAACAAATCTTCTCTTATATCACTACGAATCACCTTTCAACATAATAATATGTTGTGGGAAATCCACAATTCATTGTTTTGTTGATTCTGTTTCATATACGTGCGTCATATATGTGACTGTGAATGTGCATATGTTTCAGATGAACATATCGTGAACTTCTGCGATGGCTCTATCACTGGCACCTCTGTTTCCATCATGTATGACCAAGTTCGAAAGCCGGTTGACTCAGACACAACATGTTCGTGTAGGACTTCCGGTACAGGTCAAGGTCAAACGCCTCTCTTCATAGAAGCCCTCGATGTCCACCTTGGTAACAACTCCTCCGCAGGCTGCTCGTCACTGATGCTCAACGCACACGACCGGAACAGCATCTACGACTGCAACTCCTACGTCATCCATCCCTCGCAGATTCTCATATCGGTCAACGGAACTCTCCCCATTACTTCACAGCTCACAGTAGCGAAGAACAGTCCTCCACACAGAGTGTGGATGCGTATTCAAGGTATTGAGTATCCAAATCCCTGAAAACACCTTGTTTGTCTGCCAGTTCACCGTTTTATGTATATCAGTTTAACAGTTCATAATTACCATAGATACAGAGTGACCATGGATCCGTTTCATATATGTTGTTATTTGCACTATCTGGAACGTGGCAGAAAATGAAGAATATGCTCCCTTGAAAATATGACTCAAGATACAGACATTCAACAGTGGGTAGAGGACCTATTGCATTTATTATATTTTTCCAATACATTTTATGTTAATAACAGGCCCCCCAGCTTTAGGATCAGATTTACCTTTCTTTAATTGGATTATTATTTCATTTATTTAATGATTTTGCTGTTAATAAGTAATATTGTGGTCGGTTACTGTCAGATACAATTGTTTGAAATATTAGGAAGACGCAACTGTTAGGAATAAGTGACGGCAAATCTTTAGGACTGGTATTTAGTATGTATGTATTTATCATTATCATTCAGAAGACATTCTGGTGTAACTGGTTCCTTTTATGGTTTTGTCGATTTACAGCTAAGACACCTATCAAGGTCACGTGTAGGATACTGACCAATCAACAGCCGGAAGTTCAGATAAACTCGTCTGATTCAACTGTTTCAAAATGTAAGCTGATTTTTTTTTATGATACTTTAAGTTTCGAAATTGTTGTGACAGATATTATACTATTTACTGTACTGTGCTAAGCATGTATTGAAAAAGGTGGGGATTAATGGGTATTGCTATTCGTATCTCAGTGTGTTTGTTGTTTGACTCTGAACTCAACAATATTACCGCCATAGCACTGTGTTTTGTAAATAATCGAGTCTGGACCAACCTAACCAGGGAATATTATGAGGAACGTTCCACGCCGTCGGGGTACGATGACATGCAATCAACCAAGTCACAGAGTCTGACGATCAGGTCCGTTTGCTTTGGTTGCCACGTACGACAAGCATACTAGGTTAATTGGAGCCAATCCTAACATGGAATCCCCACCAGGTGCCAGATATGAAGAATGTCTCGTTGTGTTAAGTCTAATTTATCCTTTGTGCAATACACAAATATCGGCCTTAAGACACTGGTTTATGCCCAAACACACATGTTTGTCCAAAACATACATCTATTTGCTTTGGCATTATTTATATCTTTGGATGTGTTTTGTATCTCCGCATCAGTATCAACATGAGCAAGCATGACTACTTTCTAAGCATGTCTCTGTCTCTCTTCCAGCTTCTCTTGCGAAAAACATCTGGATTATCTTAGGCGGCAGTGCCGGGGGCATCGTCCTCGTCGCGGTTGTGTGCATCGTCTCCATCTGCTGTATAAGGTGGGTTTGACGGGGCAGGGCGGGGCAGGGCAGGGCGGGGCGGGGCAGGGCGGGGCAGGGCGGGGCTGGGCAGGGCAGGGCAGGGCAGGGCAGGGCAGGGCAGGGCAGGGCAGGGCAGGGCAGGGTGTCCTCTCCTTGTGGTTTGCAATGTACCGTGCTTAATGTTACCACAATACTACTCATAGCATGCAACACGTAGCTACGTCAGAATTGCAATATTCCATTATGATTTCGAGAAATAGATTGCAGATTTACATTGTGATACATTTTACATGATGTATTACGTTTTGTCTCTCAAGTACATAGATGTCTATGGAATGTATTTTACTATTAATATGTAAATCTCAATCACTTTCATTTGTTCAAGGTATAATATCATCAGAATATGAATGTGCGTATGAAATAAAATCCTAAACTGCCTGGAAAAAGAAAGCATATATTCATGTTTTGTGGTAGCTGAAATTAAACAAACAAGAAATGGTTATTCGACCGTGGTGTATTTGATTCTGAAGTCATAGTTGTTTTTTGGACCTTAAATTTGCAGTGTTTCGGAGACTATTTTGAATCTTGTAACGTTTTGATATTTGATAAAGTTTGTAATTGCTGTGTCAAATCCAATTAGCCAGTGTATACTTTCTTCTGCTCGACAGTTTAGATGCTATTTACACTCGCTGACTGCTTCGAATTGCTGTTAGGATCAGTTTTGGATTAATCGCACATTCATCTCATTTTGGAATGACACATAAAGGAATAGAAATAAGTGTTATTTGTGTTACCGTGTTTCTGTACCAATCTACTCTTTATAGGAAGCACCGGCAGAAGAAGACAGCTGATAATACAAAAGAGCCGCACGAATATTTTGAAATTGAACCCCCTGGTGTGTTTTCTGTGGAGAGAACCACAGAGTCCAGTGATTACTATGAAATCAGGGACAACGAACCCAGACCGGTCACTGACCATTACTATTCCAGTGCTGATAGCTTGGAACGGGTCAAACACTCGGCGCATGCGCCAAATCCCAACGTTGTATCCGGTTATGATCATCTTCGTCTGAAGAGCGGAAGTGACGCCCCCGTGGCGCCCCACTACGGACGTCTTGGAGCGGTGACGTCAGAGCACAGCTATAACCACCTGAACGAAAGTAGAAAAGTTGTGTTTAAAAGTGAATATGACAGGACTTCAGTGGCAGTATAGCACATTGTTGATTAAAGAAATTTTAAGATCTCTAACAAATATTTTTGTTAAAAAAATAAAACAATATATATTGAGACATATAATTTGTCATTTTCTGTGTGGGTTGGTCTTTATGATTTGTGCTTCCTTGAATCATTCATATGCTTTTCCAGAACAACTCAAAGAATCACTACCTCGATCATCATTTTGTGGCGTAAGTGAGCGCCGTATCCCAATTGTCCGGGTGCATAGCTGCGATTCGCAGATGCGTCACTGCTACTAGACCTGGCCAAATAGATTTGGCAATTAATGTGTCCGACTATGCTTGTCGTAAGAGGCGACTAACGGGATCGGGTGGTCAGGCTCGCTGACTTGGTCGATGCATGTCATCGATCCCATTTGCGTGGATCGATGCTCATGGTATCGATCACTGGATTGTCAGGTCCAGACTCGATTATTTACAGACTGCCGTCATATAGCTGGAATATTGCTGATCGCGGCGTTTAACAACAAACCAACCAACCCACCGTCTGGAAGAATATGTTTTCACAGAGATAACCACTTATTCTGGGTTTATCCTCAGTCACCCAGTGTATCATGTCCCCATCCTATTATAAGAAATGGGGCGGTCGGGTAGCCTAGTGGTTAAAGCGTTCGCTCGTCACGTCAAAGACCCGGGTTCGATTCCCGACATGGGTACAATGTGTGAAGCCCATTTCTGGTGTCCCCCGCCGTGATATTGCTGGAATATTGCTAAAAGCGGCGTAAAACCATACTCACTCACTCACTATTATAAGAAATACCCTGGACTAATTCACAATCCTAGCTACGTTTTTTGACGTCGCCGTTCCCATTTCCATCACGATATTGCACAGACTTTCTTTCGCCCGTGAGAGTATTTTGATTGGACTATTTTAACTGTCAAAGGGAGGTCCAGACGAAACTATAGTTGTGACTTGGTCCATGGTATTGCTGATGATAATAGAATGAAGATTTAACACACGGGATACTGGAGATTATCATATACCTGTCAATATGAGTGAGTTTTAAGCCGCTTTTAGCAATATTCAAGCAGTATCACAGCGGTAGACACCAGAAATGGGCTTGACACATATCCATGTCAGGAATCGAACCCGGGTCTTCTGCGTGACGAGCGAACGCTTTAACCACTAGGCTACCCGACCGCCCCTGTCAATACGAGGTATTTTATATGTGTGATTGAGCCAACAAAGAGACGGTCATATCACAGGGGGTGTCATGACCAGACCTGTATTACACACCTTAACGGCTGACGTGGCTTGTCAATGCATTTTGAATGAGCGATCGATATCAACCCGGGTGGTAAGAAATTAGAGTTACGCCCCTTAGTGCGTCGTCTGCTCGGCTAGTTTCCAGTGCAATGTCTTCCGAGCAAGGCAAAAGTGTATTGTCTTCATTTGCAAATAGATACACTTTACAATTTGAAGTTATGAAAAGGTTACTATAGGTAGTTTTTAACTTCCCAATATCACCCCTCTGGCATTCGGCCCTCGGGATGATATGGAGATGATATGGGGGTATGGTATGATAAAATAACCCTTAATTGTCTTACCCCCTTCGCGTGATTTTGATAAAATACTACGTATTTAATAAATATTTCTGAGCTTGAGAACCATTCTCTTATATCCCGCCACGAAGCAAAATGCGACACGTTGTCGAAAGTCACGTGTCATACCACGAGTTAACCTCACCTGAATCGAACATCTTTTTAATTCTTTTATAATGCAGATTTAAATATGTCGACAAGATAACTTTGTGATAGCAGTATCACTCGGGGTATATGTCCTGATTTTACGTTCCTCGTTAGGTTCGAGGGTATAAAACCTAGCGCGGTTTAAAAAACCCACACATATACCTTCGTGATACTTATATTGAAAAAGATCTGCACATTATACTGGCCAAACTACATGAAGCGTTATAAAATCAGTTTCCCACTTCTGCCATACTCCATACGGTGTATAACTAGAGTGAGTGAGTCAGTGAGTTGGGTTTAACGCCGCTTTTAACAGTATTCCAGTTATATCACGGCGTGTCAGCTTAATGTGGGAGGAAAGCCCGAAGTGATGTAGGTCTTAGACGTTTACCACTTCGGTGAAACCAACGAGCACGGGTATGGTGCTGACAAACCTAGAAACATAATCGGAGCGAACCGGGATTCGAGCCCACGATCATAGGTTTCTGGCGTGCCCAAGGGACGCAACTCTGCACAGCGAATCGCGGCGCCTCAGACGACTTGGCCAGCCGTGCCCCCCGTGTGTAACTAGAAGTGAGTGAGTATGGTTTAATGTGTAACTAGAAGTTAGTGGTCATAAATATCAGAAAACGATGAACTGTTTTAAGTATATGTTGTGAATTTGCAGTAATCGCCTGCGTTCTGGGGATCAGTGCATAAAATGCATGTGCTTCTCACAATTCATACATGTAACTCTATCTGTTTACTTTTACAACGTGAAGACTCGTGAAGATCCGGGGTAGAATAGATCTTCAGCAACCCATGCTTGCCGTAAAAGGCGACTAACGGGATCGGGTGGTCAGACTCGCTGACTTGGTTGATGCATGTCATCGATCCCAGTTGCGTGGATCGATGCTCATTATGTCAATCACTTGATTGTCTGGTCCGGACTGGATTATTTACAGACCGCCGTCACATAGATGGAATATTGCTGAGTACGGCGTAAAACAACAAACAAACACAACTTTTACAACTAAAATATGAATAAGTGAGTGAGTCGGGATTAACGCCGCTTTTAACATTATTTCAGTTATATCACGGCGTGTCAGCTTAATGTGGGAGGAAAGCCCGAGGTGATGTAGGTCTTAGACGTTTACCACTTCGGTGAAACCCACGAGCACGGGTATGGTGCTGACAAACCTAGAAACATAATCGGAGCGAACCGGGATTCGAACCCACAATCATAGGTTTCTGGCGTGCCCAAGGGACGCACAGCGAATCACGGCACCTTAGACGACTGGGCTACCCGTGCCCCCGAACTAAAAGATAAAAAGCTACACAACAATACCACGGTATATCACGCATAAGAGGCTGATGAAAAATTGTTGCTTTATTCATATGTGATAGTCAAAACAGCTGGTTTCCCCCATGTCTATGTGGCTATAGTGATATTCTGTGACTGGGCGTGTTCACAAATAGTTTTACAAACGGAAGAAGCCCCTCCTTTCATCACAAAACATCTTAAAATACAACGCATCTTTAGATACCACCATGTTTAACAACTGGCGATATAAAACCATATCTCTGTTCGAAGCTACCTTAGAAGAGCCCTTCGTGATGTCAAGGAAATATGTGCAAGCTTTGTCTTGTGAAAGATTTATTTCTTTATAAGTATTTGTACACCGCATCCCCGTTCCATAAAACATATCTGGTTCAACAAGGTTTTCAAATAGTTTCTTACAAAGGGATATGGAATGCAAGATCGCGAGAATGTCCCTTACAGTATTCCATAGATATGACATGCCTCCAGCTACAGTACATTTTGTAATTGAAGATTTCTCACTGAAGTTTTTTTTTTCGTTGGAGTCATATAAATGTTTAAAGCACCCTTCATCTATAGCCCAACTGAACAGTTGCATCTCTGTGTATCGCGCCAATTGAGAATCATAGCTAGGACAATGGTGGAGTCGACTAACGCCTACAGTGACAAAGGCGTCCAGTGTTACATAAACATCTTTTTGAATCTGTGACTGTCTGAGCTACCCGTCCAGTATATTGTCAACTAAATATCTACGAAGCATCATCGATGCACACATGACGTGCACACAGCTTCGGCCGCCACAGTCGTGACAGACGACATATCCCTGCACACCTGTGAATGAGAAACATTCCAGAGATAACTGGTGTCAAACATGCGTGTGAGATAGAATTCGAGGTCCGTGATCAGCTGTACAGTGTATCATTTATAAAGCATATTAAAACAAATTCTAAAGGCAATATTAGCAGCGAAGAAAACGTCAAAAACCTACTCGTATTCCGGAAACTACCGAGAGTTAATGAGATTTATCATCACGACACCTGACGTCACAGCGGAGAAATGAACTTGCAGACGATCACTGTTTCCGTGTAGCGTTCGCCATGGCATCACCAGACAATGTCATTAATGAAATCGTTGGATTTCTATCATATGGAATGCGACAATGCGATAAATGGGAAAAATGTCGCGTTGTCGCGCTTTGGTTAATTTTGACACTTTTTGCTTGTTTTTGGTAGGGCGACAATGCGACAACGCGACAATGTCCCTTTTAGGATTCCATAGACTTTCGCTCAAAGATCTTACACACATTCATAAGTATGAGCCCGTGGTAAGTCAAAACTATCTTGACAGCAGCGAGGAAAGCGAACTAGATCTATCGAGTGAAAACGATCAATCAGATGTTAACATGGAAAGAATTAGCGAACATAATCTATTAAACGCCACCCCGACATTTCTAATTGATATGGATGTTTGTCTTATCAAAAATCGTGAGACAGTAATTCAGGTAGATTGACGCTTATTAATGTCAAACATTGTCCATGTGTTGTCTTTACGCCAAGGGATAAAACCAAGGGATAAATTAGCCTAGGGATAAACCTAAATTTGTTTTCTGGACAAATGAACGTTATGTATTGATTGTAATGGCCAGTGATTGTTGGTTCAGTTAATACTGCCGTTTAAACAGTTGAAATACTATTTAAAACAAAGTCACATGAATGTCGCATTCATGCTGTAATCCTCCAGTAGTCGGTGTGTTGCAGATAAACTCTCGAATAGTTAAGAACTAATGTTCACCCTCCAATAGCTTTTAGCTCCATTAGCCGATCATGCCAGTCGAACCGTGTTTGTGATCTTTGGTAGACAGTACGTATAAACGCATCCTCTCAATCAGTTGAGGAACTGCGCTCACCATGCATTGGTTTGCATATACCACTCGACGTTCGCACGTTACCCTGCAACACATAACCACAGTGGTTTTGCAGGCTTTTCTTTTTGCAATGAACATGCCGCCGTGATATCGATTGAAAAAAAATGAAATTCTGTTTGTGAAAAGGGCGCTA